ATTATTGATATCTTAATTTGCATGATGTATCAATTTCCAGGCTTTTGATATGGTTATCTCAAATAATATCATTGCCGTTACAATATGGATAAACAAATACACAATCTTTAGAAGAACTTTCTTTGTAATGTAAACAATTATTATTATTATTATCTATTCAGTCTCTATCATGCTAAGTACAGTTTGTAGTGATAGCCACAGAAACTCTGTGCACGGTTCATATACTTTCAAGGGTAAGCCTGTTCGTTTCAGAATTTTGCGCAAAGCTACTTAAGGGATAGATACGACTCGTCGTCTCTAATTTTCAACTGATAGACTAGAAAGAATTCGATCAATAGCGCCCACGTCAACTATCTGAATATTTCTGTTTGTGATTTGAACGTCACTCTTATAAAGCACCAACGGCCCCGAAGTGCAGAACGCGTTTTTGAGGCAACAGGACGCGAATAATCAATCCAGGGGCAACAGGACGCAAATAATCAATCCAAGGATACATAGTCAGGGTACAATAAAAGATATAGTAAACATCACGGTATTTTTTTATTGTAACTGAACAATTACGGTGCATTGCAAAAAATTCGCTTATTGTAGTTTGTCCCCCGGTGGGACAGCGGTAAGTCTTCGGATTTACAACGATAAAATCAGGGGTTCGATTCCCCTCGGTGGACGCAGTAGATAGCCCAATGTGGCTTCACTGTAAGAAACAATACACACACACACACGCACGCTTATTGTGGTTCATCTTATTGAATATATTTTATTCTCTGGGCAGAAGTTTGGATAAAATTATTACAGATTTCTAGAAAGCACTCATAAGGTTTTGAAACTTTTCACAGTCCTTTGTAATTAGTTAATATAATATTGATAAGCAATTAATATTATTTAATGATATATATAATTTAAAGCTATAACTAAAACCATTAATTAAAATATCTCAGAATAAGTTGGCCATAGATCACCCTTCTTTATTATTTGCGTCAATTTGTTGGTTTTTTTTGGTGGTCATAACGAGTATCGAAACCCGACTTTTAGCGTTATGAGCGGTCAGCCTTACCGCTGAGCCACTGTGGATTATTTTGATTGGAATAGACCTGCTATATATTGAAGTAGATTACACGATAATGATGAAAACAACAACTGATGACCAAAATATCAGCTAACAATATCTTATTTCAGATTTTAACGTCAGAATCTCACAGAACAGTCATATTATTAAGAATTAGAAACCAGAGGGAAGGCAACTAGCCAACAGTACCCCCCATCAATTCTTGGACTACTCTTCTCTCACCGTAAAGTAGGGTTTGACCGTCACTCTTATAATGCAAACATGGCTTCAAAGTACGGGGCTCAATTTTGTGGCAACGGGACATGAACAATCAATCTTTGGATTCATACTCCGGCTACATCACACACGAGAGTGTCAGATATAAGAAGGAAGTATGAGTACCAATCTTATTCTGACAATACTTTTTGAATGTTATGTAAAGGCTTAAACATTCTTGCTTGAGAAAAGGCGGACAGTACTTGTTTATAAAATTGTTTAAAATATCCTGTCAGAAATTATTATAAACGCTGGTGAGAAAAATGAGAAACACGTACATTTGCTTCGATATGTAGTAAAGGAACTCGGTCGTCTCCATGATCTAGTTGACACCGAAAATCGTCTAACGAACTTTGATAATTCTATTTTTTTTTACCCAATTCACTCTAATGTTTTATTACGTCGGATGTGCAGAGAGGAAATATTTTTGTCATCATTAACTAGTTCAGATGTTTACTTTATGAAATACTTCCTACTAAGTAAGCCGTAAATACTCATTTTAGTCCTATAAGCACTCACTATAGAGGTAACAAATTTTAGTTGTAAAATGTTACTTTCAGTGATATTTCGTAAAATAAGTATAAACGCGTGAATAAGAGAAAATTTCATTATGGTATATTCAATTAATGTTTAACGTTTTGTATACTCTTACAAAAACACATAAACAATCATGTTTATTTAAGTGCAGAATGAAGCTTTTACCTCGTAGTACTTGAAAGATTTGTCAAATGTTATATCACTTTCAGTGATCTGTTTCTTCTTTCCCAACTGACATTCTTGTGTGTCTGATGCGCCAGTTCCAGAATGTTGAGTAGTGAAAGCTATACATTCCTGTTGATGCTGAAGGCACCAGAAAGCACACTCTGCCAAAGACTTAACAGGAAAACTTTCAAGAACACCGACTGAAGAAAGAATTTGATCTTGTTGAACTTCAGGATTCAAACAGAATAACTGGGAGTTGATTGTGATTAAACCAGTCGTTAGTGTTAAGAAATGTCCTGACATCATGAGGCTCAAACGTAACCAAATCATCCTTTAGATGTTCCTTGTAAGTCTAAACTTATGTAGTTGCAGTTCTCAATAGTAAGTTTAGAATCTTCTATCAGCTAACGTTATGAGCTTCTTGGCAAGGATGCAGTTAAATCATCAAACTGTTTCTAAGCCGAGAGTTTTAAATCTGACGATCCCGGGTAGCTTAAATTGTGTAAGAGAAGGTTTTACTTTATAAAATGCGTTTTACGTCTCAGCCAATAGGAAGAAACACATTATGCTTTCTGTTATGACGTAAGCAAGACTCAGCATTCCAGCCTTTAATAACGACAGTGCATAGAATGCGTGACTATCATAGCAAAATTGACCGCAGATCTAAAAGCAATGTTGTTGTTGTTTTTTCAAATATTCAGTTTTATATCTTCAAGCAGTTTCACAAACGCCTACTTGAAATTGGTTCAGAAACATTGATAGATTTTTCTGACACTTAGCGAGATATTAAAAACTACATTGCTTTATCAATAAGTTTGCAGAAAAACACATACTTAAGTAGGACGTTTAGGAAATTTCCGGTTGATGCAGATATCGCTAATAAATACTAGGTCGTCAGAAAATTAATGTCGCGCTTTGGAACACTTTCATTACCCCCCCCCCCCCAAAAAAAAACGTACATAACGTATAATAGTTAAACGAACCGCCTAAACGTCACGTTAGTGTAGCCTATATAATATGTAAAGTTTAGTACACTCTATTCCTAAAAGTGATGGCACACGACGAGACACACATTCGGCATGTAATGCTGTTTGAATACAAGAAGTGAAACAACGCCTCTGTAGCCACAAAGAATATCAAAGAAGTTTATGGAAATGTTTATAACGTTCGTAAGTGTCAACGATGGTTCAGCAAATTTCGTTCACGTGACTTTAGCCTTAAAAACTGTGATGGGAGAGGCCGACCTGCTGGAATTGATATTGATGCTCTGAAGACGCTTGTTGAGTCTAACCCAAGGCAACACACTCGTGAAATGTCCCTGAAATTGCATGTCTCTCATGAAACACACAGTACGTAAACATCTAAGGAATATGAGAAAACTCCATAAAGAATGTGTTTGGGTGCCTCACGTACTCTCTCCGATGATCACCGTTTCCAATGTGTGAACGTTGCTTCGTCTCTTCTGGTGCGTAATGCACGTGAACCATTTTTGGACAGAATTGTCACCGGTGA